TGATTTACAATTTTAAAATGTGAAAACTAGTTATCAACCTGCTTAGAATAACATTATTGAATAATTTCAACATTTCATCTGTGTGATATTCATGCTATTTTCCTTGTGTATGGATGGTGAAAAGTTATCAGCCTGACCCACTTCCCACAATCTGACCAAATGACCAATCTTCTTTTTTTTCTTTTTCAGAGATTATATATCTATTTACATACATAGGTATGAGATTTGTATAACTGCTAAAAAGCCACCCATTTATTTCTTATTGTTATGAATAAGATTGTTATTTAAATTAAAATCCATCAGATGACATCTAGGTTTTTTTTTAAACAAGTTTTTTTTCTATATACAATTAATGCGCCTGGTTCATTTATCATAAAACTCACTCGGACTTCACCTTAAATAATCACTTTAACATTATTTTCTCTTGCATGCAGACTTCCTGCTGATTTGTATAATTTAAAATAATCACTTTAGGTTCACTTAGATTTTGTGATTTAAGTGCTATCATTTTACTTACAGAAGTACTGTAAAAGAAATGCAATAAACTACATTGAGAAGTAATATAAATAAATGGAAAATATTGTCTTTTTTTTTTTTTTTTCTTTTTTTTTAACTAAATTCATGTGTGTCTGTTAATACTTGCTCTACTGTTTAGCTGCAGTTTTTAAAATATAGCTAGTCTAAATTCGCGAACTCATTCGGACTGTTGTCCTCATTTTGGCTGTTTTTATATTCACAACATTTCATTCTTTGTTCCCACCAGCCTTCTTCAGGTTTGTTGCATTCGGTTTTTGTAATGTAACTTCTGATCATTTCACCTGATTAAATATTCACAATAGTAAATTAAAACAAACAAACAAAACAAAAAAATACACGCAATGATGGAAGTATTATTAATTATTATTAGATATTAATATGGAAGTGGAATTGTTTATGGACCTCATTTTGGAAGCTCTAAAGAAACAATGTTTTGCAAATCCTGCTGAGGTCTTTATTTATTTATATGATGTGCTCAGTGTTCTCTCCATATTTAATCAGGTAGAATGGGCAGAAATGGCATTACATGCAAAATGTGATAAACACCTGAAGAAGGAAGATAGAGAAGCTGAAACGTTGTGAACATAAAAAAGAATAAACCAAAATGAGGAGAAATATAGAGAAGATGTAAACACCTGAAGAAGGAAGATAAAAAAAGAATGAACTCAGATTAATGTTTATTGTTCTGTAAAATTAATTAATCGTGTGACAGACGTTGGTGTATAATCTAACAGTTTTTCTCCCAAACATGTTTCATTGATAATCAGCTTAGATTTTTTTTTAAATATTCAACATGCCTCTGAAAGTCAAGATTCAAAAGGGTCAATTAGTTTGAAAGTTTCAGATATTTTATAAAATATAACCTATAAAAATCCTTACTTTTGACATTCTTGTATGAACTCTGACACACAAAAAAATACATCGAAAAATACTTGAGACTTTATGCTAATATAGTCTGTCTTGTGATTTTCAAAATTTACTTTTATGCTAGGGATTTTTGTTTTCTGAAGTATGATCTGCTTACACTCTATCTAATAATTGCACTTGAGTGCCACATTTATGAGGAGGCCACATATAAATTATTTGAAAAAAAAAATATAGTAAATAAACTTCTAATGACAGGTAAAATTCTAAACTAAATTTATTTACTTTTTTTTTTTTTTTTTTTACAACAAAATTTTGTATGCGAGAATGTGTAAGTCGCTTTTCTGTAGATGTATTTTTTATAATAATTTTTATTATTTGAAATTCATAAACAGAAAAGTTTGCAGAATGAAAGGAATTACAAGTATGTTGAAGTTGTAGTGTAGTTTCACTTGTTGAGTCTTTTTGATCTCTAGCTGCTTTCACTTCTCATTTTAGGGAAAGAGTCTCTTGCCATAGAAGATGAACTAGTATTTTTGACTTGACCATAACCTATTGCAAAATCTTGTCTCTTTTCTGGTGGTAAAACTCAAACATATTGGAATTTAGTGAAACCAACACTTAAAATTCTCTTTAAACTTTCATTTTCTACTCCGTTTTCAAAATTTTAATCAAACTTATCTTAAATGTTATTTTTGGCACTTTTTTCCTGGAACTTACTCTTTTGATGTTGATCTTCTTTTGTGTAGTGTTTGAGGTTATGAAATCTTTATCTGCTAAATATTTTAATTAAATTTTCAATATTACTATTGATCCAGTCCTCCTTTTGTTTAATGCCTTTTGTAAAGTAATCTGAAATGAACATTGCTGTTATTAAAAATTCTTTGTCTAAAGCAGCTTAAATACCTAAAGCTTTTTTTTCCAAGAACTGCTACTTTGTGGAACTGACTCCCAGATGGATACTTCCCTGAATAATACAATCTTAACCTCTTTAAATAAAGAGTTAGTTATCTTTCATGTTCTCATAATCTTCATTTCTTACTATCTCCTATTGCAGTCATATCACACACTTCCTCGAGTAAACCTCTGACTTGAGTGACTCTCGGACCTTGTATTTGGTGAACTATAGCCAAAAAAGAAAACTGCCTATATCTCCTGTATGCCAACCTTTATTAAATTTAAAGTATTTATTTAACCTGACACTATTTCATGTTTTGATGGGTTTATATAAAGTCGAACAAAATAATTGAGTTAGTGTAATAGAAAAAAAAGATATTTCACTCTCTTTTTCTTTATAAAGACAGAAAACAAAAAGCAAAAAATAGATATTTTTACTGGATCCTTATCCAAGATCCTTGAATTTGATCTTTACTTTCATACCAATATTGATTTGAGTTTTTAATTATTTGGCAGAAGCCATTCCTTAGTGCATAGCCTCCTAGCATTGCAGTGCTTCCGGTCATATCATGCTGAAATACTGTTTCTTGTCCAATCACTGAAAGGCAACATTTGGCCTGGTCAGTACGTAGATAAGTGACCACTTAGGATTAGCAGAAGCTTCTTGAATATGTGCTTGATGTAATGGATAATGGCTCCGAATAAGGAATCGGAGAGCCGAGTTCGAATTCCAGTCAGATTCGTTATATTCACTTATGTGCAACCACCCAAAGGAAAGATATAAATCCACCTTTTCTCCCCACAGCTATGGGTTAAATAGTATGACTTGTATCAGAAAAAAATTATCCCCCCCCCCAAAAAAAAAACGAAAAAATGTATTCTTACCATCCAAAATTATTTTCTGGCTTTAAATAACTTGCAAAAATATCACGGCCATGGTCTAGCATTGCAGTGTGTCAGAACTTTTTTCTGATTGTGTTAAATATTCCATTTCTCTGAAAAGTTTAACTTTCTTAATATAGTTCAATAAGTACGTTGATTACCTTTGTAAATTGTTTATATATTGATTTTTTTTTATTAGTTAAAAATACGTTTTTTAGTGGATACCCGTATTTGAATTAGAAACCCTTTTTTATTTTTTACTGTGTATTACATTACGTCTATCGGCCTACGTATTCGAGAGAAACTAAAGAAAATGTGCTCTCCGGCAGGAATCGAACCTGCGTCTCCCTTTGTAAAAGAAACCAGCTTCCTTTCCTGTCGGAATGTCTTTAAGATTTCTCAAATACTCAGACCGATGGACGTAATACACTGTTTATAAACTAATACTAAAAGTAAAAAATAAAAATGGTGTGTCATTTGTTTTTTTGTTGTGTGCTTGCATCCATCTTTTTACAATAATTCATACTTTTTATATTCACACCAAGTATCCAGTGATTTGATATATTAAAAAAAATGGTATGTGTTTTATTCAAAATCTTTATCCATTGCCCTTAGGAGGAGGAGGCTGTTTATGCCCTGTGCGTGCCTTGACTCAACTGTTATTGCCTATCTTACCTCTCTGAGTCGGATAACTCGAGAACTTTGTCCTTCTTCACGCCTCTCCTTCTCTGCCGCAGTCACTTAACATTACTTTTCTTATGTCATGTGACCTGTTTCTTATTTTTATGTTTGTGTTTCATCTGTATGTACGTATGTATGAATGACATGATATTTTTTGTGACAATGCGTTAATGTTAGTAGTATGTGCGTTCGTTGTATAATGAATTTAAAAGTGTGACTAAAATACTTTGGTAAAGTTCACTTGAGTGTCAAGTCGGTCCTTTATCTTTTCAAGCATCAACACCTGCAGCCGTGACAGTTCAACTTCTCTAAGAAAAATATTTTGGAATACACTTTTTTTTTGCGTACTTACCTGACATTATATAAAAAAAGAAACACTGGTTTTGTAACTTTCAAATTGTTCAATATACCAATCAACACACGTGTACACACATCTGTGTACTATTTTTATTTATCATCCGTCAGTTAACATCACGAAATATGTTTTTGTTGTTTTGCTTGCTCTACTTGGAAGTACTAAACTAACTTAAAGAAATGGAAACATTTTTTTTTAAATCTATCAAACCTTTTTTCTACATACATTTACTTCAGGGACTGAAAGTCCCACGAATAAAAAAAATAAATTAAAAAATACAGAAATAACCAGCGAACCTAGAATTTGGATTTAATTTTTAATAAAACAAATATTTGAAAACGATTTGTATTTTTGTGGGATTCCTTCACTCGATGGTAATTACATACGTGTTTACATTTGTTTTTTCCTACCTGCATATTATTCATAAACAATTTTCTCAATGAATAAGAATACTCTTCTTCAGGATATGACAATACAAAATGCCCAGGAATGCAAGTACACACATATTTGGGCTGCCTCCCACCCCGACCCGTAAAAACTCACCTGGAATTTTAAAGAAATGCTACCTTAACCAATAGCTTTACGCACGACACGTAAAGACAACTACTGCAGACCTCAAGACTAATACTCTGGACATTTTGTGTAGTTTCAATCGGATTATTTTTTAAATATCTTTCTGGGAAAAGAAATCTGGAATTAAGTCAGTCCCAGAGGTAGGTATACATTTATTTAATTCTTTTCAATATTTGTGACATGTTTTTCTCTTTTTTACCTGTATTTTCAGTATGGCTATGATGGACCTACTTATACAACTAACAGCCAGCAAACGCTTGAATCCTTCAGGGTATCTTCTTGTGGCTCTATCAGAAGAAGGTAACCGACCTGTGGATTACAAAGCAAACCAACCTGTTGGTTTAGTAAATGCACACCGAGTGAAACTTATCAGTAAGGAACGTGTTAAAACTCAGCAAATATCTCAGATTGCAAAAACAGCAGAAAAGCAGCTCCCTTTTGAGGTAATGTGTTGATACTTTGTGTGTATGTAAAATAGGACTTCTTATTTCTATACAAATCGGTAAAAAAAAATTTCTTTTCTATTATTGATCACTAATCGATACAATAAGTGTACTGTAACAAATGAATGGGTCTAAAAACTAGACGGGACAAAAAAGGTTGAACTTGCCTCCTTGTTTTGTTGAAGAAAAGTCAAAGCTGAGCATATATAGAAATACTGTAAATGAAAAAACGTAACACATAAAAAAAAAAAAAAAAGTAAGGACGTATAAATGTTTGTTTTGCTCTTTTGTTTAAATTTTATCAATATTGACATTTGATAAAATAACTAAATGAGAAGGGATTATTTTTTTACGTTTTCCTCAATATAAATTGCTTTTGTTATTTTATTTATAACAGAAAATACGAACCTTGTATTATGTCTAACGTTTAGAAAAATATTGTCACTGTTTTGTTTTGATAATGCAATGTTTATATGTGATTTCTCTTAAATATAATGACTAGTTTCTTTTCCTCAGCAAAGTGCCATCAACAAAAAATTGCAATAATGTGCATATGTGTTCTTGTATATTCTTGTGTACATGTGAAATAAAAACTGGTTATTTGGATATTAGCAGATTTTGAAGTTTTTTGTCAGTCAAGCATCAAATTTATCAGATCTGCTATCCCAACTTGTGAGATATCCAACCAGATATTATTGAAAACACAAAGTTAACTTTTTTTTTTTTTTTTTTTTTTTTATAAATTTTTTGCATTTTTTTTCTTCTTTCCCAATCTAAAATGGGATGTATGGGTGGTGTAATGGATAGAGGCTCAAAATGAGAAATTGGAGAACAGTTTGAATTCCAGTCAGGTTCATTACATTCGCTTACATGCAAATACATTTGGGGAAAGGTATGACTTCACCTCCTCCCCAAGCTATGGGTTAAATCATAAGATTTTTGTATATGGACAAAATCATTGTTATTCTCAAATAATTGTTAATGCAATATTCACTTGCACAAAAATAATTATTTTTACCATCCAAAATGTGTTTTGGCTTTAAATAGTGCACAAAGGGTTGACAAGCTGTAAAAATTTTGAAAAAAAAAATCGAAAATGGCTTAAATATGTTCAATAGGATTTGTGTTTGAAAAATAACTTGGCTATAAAGATTTCTTAACTATTTTGTGACTTCACAACTCACTGATCTTTTTTATTTTATTTATTTATTTTTTTTGTTGTATGCTGTGGATCATTTTATTTTTAATTTTTTTTTGCCACATTGAGATTTTGCATGTATCTATTGGTAGGCTATTTAAAACTTCTTCACTGGATTTGGATTCTCATGAAAAACTTAGCCCATTTATTGCTAGAAAATATGGAAGTTTCAATAAATTAACAAAAATATTCACAACTTTCCTATCAAAGTAGTAAACTTATTTAAACAAGGAGAAATTTTAATCTTTCTTTCTGAAATAAATATTGTTTGAAGGTATTGAAAATTAGCAAGTCATATGAGATTTTAAATGACATTTCAAATGTCATATTTTAATTAACTAGTGTCCCTAGTATTGTTATCTGATAAGTTGATTGCCAAATATTTCATGTGTCAAAAACAACATATAAATGACCTTACAATGAGAGTTGAAAAATTATGAAGATTTAAAGTACAAATGTGACGGAAATGACAGGTAATGTGACATTTGATGTTAAAGGTGGGCATTGCGAATGATTAATTGTTATAAACAACCTTGAAAAAACTCTCTAGAATAAACTAAAAAAAACTGTAAAAAAAAAAAAAATGAAATGTAAAGCTCTGAAATTATTTAAATTGTTTGTTTATTTGTGACAGTCATATTTGAAGATCTTAAAAAAAAAAAAAACAAATCTCCAACTGACTGATTGTGAGATGCTGTTTGAGAGGTTTATGGTAATAATGTTTCAGCTGTGAAAATATGGCCTCAGAAAGCTTTTTGCAGTTGCATTTTAGCAGTATATGAATGATTAAAATGAGTGGACATTTCACTCACTCACTCACTCACATACAAATCAATTGGTTCTCAAGCTGACCCACATCCAAAAATCTGACCCAACATCAGAATGTTGTGTGTGTGGACTCTCTTCTTGGTCAGGCCAAGGACTTTTCAGCATGCCTTCATATATACATAGGTCTTTGGAAATTCGTTTTATTGCTGTACCCTTGTGATTTCCACTGTTACACATTTTTTTTTTTTTTTTTTTTTTTTTTTTTGCAAAAGACTGTTTCACATTTGATTTGAAAATGTTGTGTGTCCCTTCAGGATGTGGGTGATCATGGCTCTCCACTATTTTCTATCCTTTGTAGCTTTTAGTAAATTGTGTCTCTCCTAATCTGTTCTTCCATCAATTTACACAAGCTAGGTTTTACATTGCTTTACTCTGTCACTCTTTCCTCATTATATACCCTAGAAATTTCAACTATTTATTTCTGATGCTAAGTATAAAAATCCATGGTATCCACAGCTTTCTTCTGTAGAACCACATTTCTGTTACTTCAAGTCTCTTATTCTGTGATGAGATTGCCAAGCATTTATTGCCATATAGGAGGACTGCATAACAATTCAATACTTTTTTTGTTCATAACAAAATTTCTGTTTCTTAATACTATTCTTATCTTTTGGATGTTGGTGTCGTATTTTCCAGCTTCTGTTAAAACACTTCCCAGATATTTAAATTTTTATACTTTTTTGGTATCTCCAATTTGTAATTTGTGCGCTGGACCATTCCTTTTGCTGACAACCATACATAGGAGGTCATGCTATCAACACTGTTATCTGCATATTTTATGTTAAGATTGTGACCACTAATAATGAATCCTGGTAGGACTTTTAATTCTCTCAGTATTACTTCATCGTAAAGCTTGAATAAGTTCAGTGAGAAAACACAACCTTGTCTTATACCGCTTTCCATTTTTGTAGATTTACTGAATTGACATCCTATCCATATGCAGGCAGTTTGCTACCTGTATAGGTTCTGGATTATTCTAACACCCTTCTCAAGTATATCAAGCTTACCTAGCAGTTCTTTGTGATGTACTTTATCAAACGCTTTTGCATAATCTATAAAATATAGGTATACATCTTTTGCATCTGTATTGCACTTTCTGCTATCATTCTGAGCATAAATAGTGCATTCCTTGTTCAAGAGTTCTCATCCTATTTTGGGTTTAATTCTGCTGCATGCTCTATTCATCTGGATGATCAAGTTGATTGTCTGATGGAGTTCACATTCTTTAGCACCTAGCTTCTTTGGCAGTGCCATGAAAATGGATCTACTTAAGTCCTCCATTATATCACTAATATCTAATATTGACAATATTAGACATTTTTAAAACACTATGAAAGTAACTACACGCTTAACAAATAGGGAGTTTTTTCAAAATAAAAAAGAAGAAATCTATCACATTCATGTTTGTTGTGTAGAGCCATGATCGCTCACATCCTTGAAGAGTCATGGCACATAAAAATTAGATAACCCTACTTTTCAGTGTTAATTATATCTCTTGTAGCCATCAACATTTCATTTGGTCTTAAAGTCAACAGAAATCTTTGGCAAGAAAGGTTGTCCCCAACATGAATGCTGTTTCCCTAAAATGTGTGTAATTGGTCAGTATCTTATGCGAAAAGTGAAACATTTCAGAGAAATATAATGAATTTATAATTTAATCAGTGTCTACATCCAACAGAAAGAAATTAAAATAAAAATTCCATTCAAGTACAGTTAACTGTAATGTGTATGTATGTTGGTGTATTTCAATACAAATTGATGTCGTTTAGGTGCATGCATGTGTTTCACACAGCCACCCACACTTTTTGTAATGTTATTTCAATCTGTATGACAAACATAAGTCAATGCTGTCTATATGTTTGCTTGCTATTTCCACCATTTAAATGTAACTGCATTTACATGCAATTTTATAAACCTATGTTTTTATATATTTGTGCTAAGTACTATCACACTCTCACACATAATGTCTGCATTTTTTTTTATCCAAATGCAGACACCAGAAGTTTCTGTATGTATCTATATATGGTGACAAAAAATAAATATTTTAAATTTTTGAATTCATACAAAAAGTATAGATATTTATCAAAATGGTTCCATTCTTGAATATTTGGATTTTCTCTCATCACTGTTATGATTCTGATAAAATCCAAGAGTAGTGAACATGATATTGGGAAAATCATATTCACTATTTGTTTCTACATTTAGTCAGTCACTAAAAAGATGTATTGAAAGGGCACTGATCCTACAATATATTGTATTGCTTTTCATGGATACATGCACCTATTTGGTGGGGAGTTGAATGACAAAATGGAAAATCTGTTACATATTTTGTCCTTCAGACTTTGAAGAACTGAATACATAACATAGTTTTTCAATTTTGTCATTCACTTACCCACTATTAGTCTGATATATAGATTTGTGTATCATCTACTTACTTTTATGTAAAAAATTAAAAGATGCTCCTACTGTATATACTTGAGTATAGCATGAAATTTTATGATCAGTTTTCATGCAAAAAATAGGCGGTTGCACTATTTTTTTTTTTTTTTGATAAGGTTAAAAATGATGCATATTCAGTGATTGGTTGCACTACAGACAGATTTTTTTTTTTTACTGGATGGGGCTAAAATTCATGTAAAAAATCCATGGGACACACTATATATGAAGTCATCTTTATACATGAATATAATAATCATAATACCACTACTCCATTGGAAGTTGATAGTAAATAAATTGCCAGGCTCAGTGTCAGTATCAACTTTTTTTTTTTTTTCCTGAAATCTAGCTGGACTAGTCAAGCAGCTATTCATTGAGGATGGAATCAAAATAATAAACTACTTTAATCACTGATAGGTCTTTTTCACTTTTGTTTTTAGCATTTGGGAATGTATGTGGGGGTCATGAACAGCTTTCAGCTTGACCCTCTTGCCAAAATTTGACCAAATATCAGGCTGAGAACTTTTCAGCACCCCTTTCTATTATGGTTTTTCAGCTGTGATTAATATTAATTATATTCATTGTCAAAAGATTACATGTAATGTTAAGCTAATTGCCCTTCTATGAACTGTGAATAATCTTAACAAGTGGAACGTAAATATTCATCTGTGGCATGATGAATAATGCACTCAGAATAAAAGCTTACAAATTCTGAAGAAGTTTTAAATATGTTTTCCATTTTCAGTTGTAATTACTGAAATAATTATGAGAGACAAAGCCATACTACAAACTGATTTGCTTTTTGCTAATAGACAAAAGTTTATTTAATATTCCTTTCTACCTTCATCCAGTCATTTAAAATCTCTTTTGTATCTAAGATAGGTTTGATAAGCTGAATGAAAATTGTTTAGTTACTGCCAATAACCCTCCCAGAGCAATTCAAAATAGAATTTAAAATAGCATTAAAAGTTAAGTGTCAAATATGCCGAAGGGTCTCAGAACAAGTCCTTGTTCAGCATTCCAAGTATTGTCTAACGATAACTTATTTTCAAAATGTCTGACGAACAGCATACATTCTGGTTACTCCCTTTTAACTTTCTTTTGAACTGAGAAAGGCAGACAATTTATACATTAAATAAAAATTATGCTAAATTCTAATCTATACCATATAAAATTTAAGGTAAAATCAAAGTAGAATTTAAAATAGCATTAAAAGTTAAGTGTCAAATACCTGTGAGAATTTGTGGATGTCCTCATTTAGCATTCCAAGTATTCTGATTACTTCCTTTTTAACTTTCAATACTATTTCTGTCCTTCCCTTTTTATATTGAGAAATAGGAAAATCAGCAAAATTTACTTCAGATTTATGCTTTTTTTTTTATTGAGAAATAGGAAAATCAGCTCTGTTTAATACACAAAGATTTTTTTATTTTTCTGTTGAAGTTAACAAAAGCAGATACCAAAAAGATGGCCTCTTCTTCTTGGCAATCATTCTTTTCTCTTTCCCCCTTACTGTTGTCTCTAAAGGTATTGGCAAGGGAACTGTTCACCCTCTTCATGTGGTGTAACTTTTATTATCAGGCATCAGTCTAGCCATGGCTTATACTGGGTGTGGTATAAATGCTGTTACAAAATTTCAATTGAATTCTACTTCTCCATATTTGGTCATTACATTGTTACTTATGGTTTATAACTTGCCCAACAACTTATACTATTTATTTTTTAAAGTGTTTTAGCATTTCCTGGCAACAGTGTCTATGAATTAAAAGATAGTATATAAGTGAGCAACATGCAAAGAAACTAACTCTACCTGAGATTTTTAAAGCTGGAAAATAACTTGGAATCAATAGAATGTTTATCAAAAGGACAATTTGTCGATATAATGAGATTTCCTCCATCAAAGATAGACCAAGACTAAGATGTCCTTGCACCTCCAAGATGCCAAAACTCATTAAATAGGTATGAGAAAATTGCCTAAGGAGGCCTAGAACCATGTAGAGACTGTGTCAAAATTATCTAAGTATGTGACCCTACAAGATAAACAAGAGACAGCAGCCACATTGAAAAAGAGGCTTCAAAGAAGTAAGCATTTGCTGAAATGGACTTGTGATGGCACGCTGTAAAACATCATCTTCACTGATGAGAAACTGTTCCCTTTGAACACTTTTAATCATCAAAATGATTGTGTTCTTTCAACAAGTTTTCAGTTAGTTTCTGCTGCTTCAGAAAAATGCCTCAGAACTCAGAAACTGGCATCAGTTATGGTTCAGGTAGCCATTTCAGTCAGAAGAAAGTCTTCTTTTGTTTTCATGCCTCAAGGGGTAAAGATCAACAAGTGTACATAGAGGTCATCTTGGAAGATGCACTAAAGCCATAGTGGCAAGCCATACTGCTTGTGCAACACAGCAGCAATGCAGATGCAATTGTCCTGCCTTTATCACCATAGATAAATTGTCCCCACCACCTCTCATCACCAGATATCAATGCTGTTGATTATTGTTTGTGGGTAGTTCTCGAGAGTGAGGCCTGTTCTACCTTGCACCACAATATTGACGCTCTGAAGGCAAAATTGAAGAGAGTATGGGATAAAATAGCCATGGAAACTGACATCAATGACCTTCCCAAAAGACTTCAATGTGTGGTGAAGGCTAAAAGGAACCATATTAAATGAGATTTTCTGGTCTTATTTAGCAGATTAATACATGCTTTGTGTTAAAATTGTAGCCTGATATAATACATTTTTCAGGAGTTATCAGATTTTTATTTTGTAGCAGTACCCTGTATGAAGGTAGGAAAGAACTGTACCCTGTATGAAGGTAGGAAAGAACATTGTTTTATTTCCACTTGTTGAATCTTCTCCAGAATCTATGCTCATCAAGCATATAAGAATAAAAATAAAGACAACTACTGTCAATTCGCTACAGTCTGACTTGTTTTTTAATTTTTTGAACATTATGATTTTGTATGTCATTCTTGCCATCTTTAGATATAGACTTATGGCTATATTATATTGAAACATCAGTTCTCATACAATCATTCAAGAGCCTGATGTTTGACTGTTTGGGAATACCAAGTGCTGTAAGCTTGGATGTGCAGGTGGTGTAATGGATAATGGCTCAAGAGTGGAGAGTTCCAATTTCACTCAGGTCTGTTATATTCACTTGCATGTAAATAGTCTTGGGTAAGGTGACTCTACCTCTTCTCCCACTAGATATGGGTTAATTAGTAACATTTGTATCAGTAAATCATTATCTCCAAAACATTCTTACAATCCAAAAATATTTTCTGGCTTTAAATAACCTGCAAGAGATTGATAAGCTGTAAAAAAGAAATCAATCAATGTAGTTATTACAATTTGATAATAATGTAGCTTAGGTATAAATAGAGACTAGTATTAGCTTTTATGCCCTGACATATTCATGGATGAAGTTATCACCTCTGACTGAAAATGAACATCCTCTCATCCTTATTCTTCTTTAAGATATTCCAAATGTGTCACTGCATCCTTGTGGGTAATGAATTATTTTCTACTCTTCAACCTCTTTCTCATGTACAAAATGTTGCAAGCCTCTCGCTGCTCTATCGCTGTTTCCATGGAGAGTGTTCAGACAAATTACATTCCTTACTTCCACCAGTTCTAATCTTTATGGCTAAGACCCAACATGCTATGAACATTGTAGCAAACCACTCTCATTCCCTTCATATTCCATTAGTGAGATGTAAGTTCCACTCAAGTAGCTTCTTCCCATGAAGAAGCTGCTTTGTGGAACCGACTCTCAAGAGGTTCCTTCCCAGGTCACTATAACCTTGGCCTGTTCAAGTCTTGGGTAAACAGTTATCTTCACATATGCCCATAAACATAAACTGTACCTCTTACTCTGTAACCCTCTACCTTGATTGGCTCTTGGGCCTTGTACTGGGTGAACATCATTGTAAAAAAAAAGAAGCTATTAAGAACTTTGCCCATTTTCTTAATATTCATCAGAAATTTCTGCTATAGGTGATAGTTGGGATCATCAAATCAATGCAGATGATCCTTTCTTTAGGTACATAGTATACTCTTTGCCAGGGCTACATACAGTTTTGAATTCAGAGTTTTTCTTTCTCCTAGACCAGTTGCCATCCAAGGCTATAGAACCAAGTCTGTCCTATTTATCCATAGCTGGAGTCGGGGAGTGCAAAGAAATTGATTTATACCTTTCCTAAGCATGTAAGTGAATGTAATTAACTTAACTAGAATTCAAACTTGACTCTCCAATTCCACAATGTAAGCTTCAATCCATTACTCTACTATATAGTTCATATATCAATTACTATCAATTAGTCTGCAAAACATTATATTTTTTTTTCACTTCAGACCCATTTTCAAATTTATGGTCCATTATGGTCTTTAGTGAGTTAGATATGACCTCCTGTATTCTTTAAGAAAATGTGCAGCTTATTCTTGGTCAAGCAACATAATACCTAAATTCTCTTAGGTGGTCACTTCTATTTTCAAATCAATTATAGTTGGATCATGCTGGTTCTATCATCAAAGTTAATCTGCATTAAGACCAGTCATTACTCATATGGGATACTGCTTATGAACACTAAATGGGAAATGGGGAATAAACCTCTACTCCTGTTCAAAAGACTGTGGAGGAGTGTGAACTGAACGATAGGTGAATTTAGATGGAGTCCTACTCATGAACACTGAGTACTGTAAGCAACCTCCAACAATCTGAATTTTTTTTTTTTTTAATCATTTCACCTCAAGCAAAGTGGTAATGCCACTAAGATGCAAGGGGCTATCGTGAGTTAGATTTCCAGTTTCTTCTAAAGTCTTCTCAGACTTTAGAAGAAACTGGAAATCTAATCTTGTATGGAAAATGAGAGATAAACCTCTACTCTTGTTCAAAAGACTGTGAAGGAATGTGAACTGGCTGATAGGCAAACCTATTCTATTGTTAAACCATTAAGAACATTATTTCTGCTCCTTTTGAAATAAAAGCTTGTTTTATTATAAAAGACTCTAGTAATTAAGCTTCCATGTGAAGATACTTACTTGGTCCTGACTGTCAAAAGTTACATACACATCACCTTCCTTACTAACATGTTTACATGTGTTTCGGTTTTAGATAACACACAAAGGGTTGCTGTAAAAAGGAAATTGTTCAATTTTCAAATCGTATCTTTGGCTTACATCTTTTCTCAGATCGGCAATTATTTTCTTGTTGCTCATCGAATGTCATCAAATGCTTTTTCTCAGTCCATGTCCTGGTTTTTTCAACAGGACTAGAGGTTTATCCCTTGTTTCCTATTTGGGATTGGATTTCTGGTTCCTTCTAAAGTCTTTTCTCTTTCCCTCCCAGTAGTCCCTTGCATCTTAGTGGCATTATCGCCTTGCTTGAAGTGAATTGATTAAAAAAATGTCTGGGCCATCCAGATAGTCACCACATGTTGTAGATCTTCATAAAGCATTGTTAACACTATTTTTGAACACTTAACTTGAGAAGTTATTGCTCTGTATGACTACTTATGTAATTGCATCTCTATTCTCTCCTGACAAACTACATATTTTTGCCTATTGCATCTACTCCAATTCTCTTACAAAAAAATATAAATAGCTGATTTCCTTATCAACAAAGTGTCTTAGTCAGTTTCAAGTGAGCTCCTTTCATGAAAATATTGTTAGCAGAATAAGTAATGCAGCAAAATGGTACATACAAGTATTGGTCTGTGATTAATATTAGAAACTACGAAGATAATGTAATATGCTAAAGTAAAGCGGATAAGATTTTTTCTTTCCAAGCCTTTCGTGGTTTGACATGTGAGAATGAATACAGGTAAAAAAAATCATAAGAAAAAAAAGAAGCAGAAAAAAAGAAAAAGGGCACAGTTAGCACAGAGCAGACAAAATCCCAGTTTTATAAATAAACTGAAACTTCAAGGAATTTTTAATTTAAATTTTAATGTCAAATTGAGACTTTCTTCACATAAAATCAAGTCTTATGAGATGTTAACTACGAAATATATTGAATATGTGACTGTAGCATTTTCAGAAAACATTTTTTAAAGGTTGGATCAATTTATTATGAATTTCTCTTGCAAACAGAGTAAACCCATAAACTCATGAAGTACTCAACAGAAATAGATGACTTTATTTGTGGTCACTGTAAATTAATTGTTAATTTCTTTTCCTAACCAAAATTGTGACTTTACATATGACTTTTTTTTACCAGCCAAACAATATAGACACTTATGTGCATGTGTGTATTTGAAGATACATATAAAATACATTTGCAAATGTAGTTTGTTCTTGTTGCTATCATAATAGAACTATAATCATAATAGAAACTATGTATTAACTAAAAAAGTTGGTTTTGTGGAATAACTTTTGATTGTCAAAGGCACAAATCAGGCTTAAGAAAATACAAAATGGTATGTACAAAACGCTCCTTTTTTTTTTTTTTAAACAAAACATTAGTAAATGGAGGGCTTATGGCCACACAATTTTGAAACATTGGTTCCTGTATGATAACTGAAGTTAAGCAATGTCGAGCCTGGGCATTATATAAATCAGTGACCA